TTATATTATGCTGCCTTAGTTTTCAGAACTCTGGCCAGATTTTGTCGAATTTCGTCCTCGGGTTTAGATTTCGCTAGAGGTTTGCCCTTGGGTGTGGTTTGACCTCCTGAGCACGAATATGACGGCCGACGAGGAAACATATGGAGCAGGCGCCAAATTGATCAGGGATACTGATGCCTGTAGCGTGAGAGCTGGGCATTTTCACGCAGACTTATGAGGTCAAAAATCGCTGGGTTGAAGTCTCAGATCAAATCTACCACGAGTTCGACTTCCATAAAAATCAACCCAAAAATTTAGAAGATGGTGCAATAAGGGCTAAACAGCGATGGAAAGCGGCCCAAAATTCGGAAATTGAAGCGATGAACGTCGACAGTGCACGGTTTTTCGGGCACGTTCATTCGTGAGGTCATACTTCTTGAAGGGTTACTAGTTACTCCAGCATGGTGAATTTCGGCTTGGAGGGGGGCAACGAATAGTGCTCAGCTGAGCCGTGACCAAAGTGGCTCACTCGCACTGTTTCGCAGCTTCACGGGCGCTCACAGGTCTGACCAAGGTGAGACCTGTTATTTAACATGAACCAATAAAAGGAACTAGCGAAAATGCAAAGTGCCCCCCCTACCCGACCAAACAGGGCCTGTTGGAGTTACAGTTAAAGTTTACACTGGCAGTAATGTGATTTCGGTCTTGAAGATTTCTAATGTGATGGTTCTCACCTATTCCTTCCACCAGTCTCTTGTTCGCATCGAGGAGACGGTCACGATCACGTTCGCAGTTAGCCAGCTTCTCATCCATTTCCAACAATCGAATACCCATCTAAATTTAGAAGAATACCGTTGGGGGCTTCAAAGATCGGTTGGGAAATCCAGCGACGCGCATAAATTAGCTAGTTGACCCGACATACCATAGCTTCAAATCAAAGTGAAATCAGTCAGGTCCGGGTGCGAATGCCGCGCACTGGCACTATTGTAACGTCGCTAGAAACCACTTCATGCTTTTCATCTGCGTCTATAGGCGGGAAACGACTGTTGAGTTAATAGTCAGGCTGACCGCTACGCTACCGCTCGCTCAACTTTCAGGTTATACGGCCTCCGCTCTACTGTGGAGGCGCTGATTCCTCACGAGAATTTATAATCAATAAATTCGTTCCTCAGCTATCTGATGGGTGTGAGTTTTCCTTGAGTAAGGGTTCACTAAAGCTGCAATCTTTCGTTATTGAATTTTGATTGCAAGTTTAGCTAAAGGGCACATTTCGCAATTATCAAATGGGCGGAGACTCGGAACCATTCGTACATTCCTTATTGGGGCGCTCCTCCTAACTACTATGCGAGAATGGGCTGGCGCACCAATGATGATAGCACAACGGCGGGCTCAGCTCCGCCCACTGGATCAGCGTGGATTGTCTCTTGATAAACGCGTGACAATGTGGTACTACCCTGATGGTATATAAATACTTGTATAATTATGAATGATTTATAGGCGTAAATACAAACTAAAAAGTATACCTTCTCCATGTTTTTCTTGGTTTCCCTCAACTGGAATACGAGTGTGTCATCCATTGCGACGATCACTTTCATTTCAGACGGTTGTTCTGGTCGAGTTGCCCCTCGAACTTCTACAGCTCTGTCTACTTTCTCTATTTGAGTGACTTTATGGTCCGATGTCTGTGTGCACTGGGTAGACGCCCAAGTGACTGCCTTGTTCGCAGTTTGAACTTGAATTGCTTTTGAGTAAAGTTCCACTCGTCGAGAAGCTGCTTCCCGATGCTCGAGCTCAGCCTTCGTCCTTTCATACTCCCTCGTTAATTTTGAATATTCTTCTTGAAGGGTTTCTAGTCGAATGGAAAGTGCGGAGACTTCCTGAAACAATATTTTCTTGAAGTGAGGCAGTTTCGAGGCTAGAGAAAGCGCTAGTTATGAACCCACTTCAGCCTTTTTCTCCAGTTCGTCGACCTTCTCGTTCAAACGGGACTTCAACTTTGACCTGTCGTGGTTCTTCCGCAATAATTCATCCTGGAAGCATTCAAAACTATTTGACAAAGGCAATCGAGGTGAAGCGAGGGTACTCTGCTCAATGGGCCAAGTCATAACGATGATAATCTTGGAGAGGGGGTGCCATACCTGTTAGTACTTGACGATATGTGTCTTTGTCTTTTCACAGTCGTCCCTCACCCTGCCTGGAATTCTTGTAAAATCCTGTCAAATACCATGTAACTTCGTGTCAAGCTTGAAAAAATGGTACCGGCGTCATCTGAACACCATATCTCATTTTACTAGATCTTGGCCAGTCATATTTTGACAAGTGTAACGGTTACAAGGTGCTTGACAGGTGATAACAAGGCTCACAGGATGTTGACAGGGTTGTTTGCTGTTAACA